AAATATACCTTTGGTAAAGCTTATTAAGATTACCGAAATGCCCTAGACTTAGAAAATTGGTATTTTAAACATTATTTCGAGTATTATTATGTTGAACTTTACAGTTATGGCATGACTATTATTTATATGGGTGTGACATGTTGTCACCGTTATTCACTTACAAATTTTAAAAGAGACGTTTTGACCACAAAACATTATTTACGTTGCAAACTATTTAGTTTAGTTATTTTGGTAAAATAGTTATTGTTCAAGAAAATATGAAAGTATTGCATATTTTTAAAATGAAGGAGCAACTTTTAATATTATAACGACGTCACATTATTAATAATATTTCATGAAAATATTTGATCGAAACATGAGATATGATGGTATCGGGGGTTGATCAATAAAAAATATTAAGAAAAGTCGTTTTAAAATTGTTAAAGAATATTAATCAATTTAATTACGATTATTTAAGATGCTTAGGAATGATATAAATTATCATGTAGGTTGCGGTTCTTGAGAAAACGACCTATCAAACGTTAACGATTCAAGGTGAGTACATTATGCGATTTTTATGGAATATATACATGATTATTACAAAGTATTYTATCCATGATATTTGCATGATGTGATTATATGCATATGATGATAACTTGATTGTAATGATGTACATGATATTTGTAAAACCCAAAATTTCGAGGAATAAATAATGTATTTTATTACTTCGATTTTATTTATATATATAAATATATATATATATATATATTAAATCAAATTCAAATTTGAATAACTTAAATCTTGCTGGTTTTGGGCTCGGCTGAAGGCTCTTATTAAAGGAGGGCCAGCTGTTGACGTTGGGAGAGGCAGGAGAGGGCAGGCGATACCTGGCCCATAAGGGGAAACTGCGACCTGCATGGTTGCAGGCTGTGGAGAAGACAGTCTCGCAGCCTAAAAATCGGGATTTGGCCGATTTGGTCAACTAATAGGCCAAACCGCTTGAGTATAAATCAGGGGTACTGGTCTAGAGTAGTTATCTTTTTTTTAAGAAGAAGGAATCGTCGAGCTTGAGAGAGGGAGGAACCGGAGTTCAGACCAGGCACGAAACCCCCTGCTTCCCGTCGTTTAGAGGTAATTACTCGACCCAAATTTTATATTGATACAAGGTTTAGCTATGCCATCAGTCCTGTATAGAACCCTAGAAGGCTCACGTCCGAACTTTGTGTTTTAAGGTTCGATTTCAAGGTTTAGATTTCAAATGGTAAACATATTGTATCACTGTAAAAACCACTTAGAAGATGGTATACAGAAGCTCTGTATGAGAGCTCTGTATCATGTTAGAAGCTCTGCATGAGAGCTCTGTATCATGTTAGAAGCTCTGCATGAGAGCTCCGTATCATGTTAGAAGCTCTGCATGAGAGCTCTGTATCATGTTATGCATGAGAGCTCTGTATCATGCTAGAAGCTCTGCATGAGAGCTCTGTATCATGCTAGAAGCTCTGCCTGAGAGCTCTAGGTCCAGTTATGCTAGTCACAGGCTCTGCATGAGCTTTGTTTCAAGTTGTGAGAACCCTGTACCAAGTTATGAAGGACAGCAGAGCTCTGTATCAAGTTATGAGGCCATAGAGGAGCTTTGGCCCTTAAATTTATGTATGTGATTTGGAACCAGAGGGGCTCTGGCCCGTGGTGAATTGTTTTCTAAGTATAGTTCAACCAGAGGCTCTGGTCGTGAGACCAGAAGCTCTGGAAGAGATGGAAACCAGAGGGGCTCTGGCCCGTGGTGAGGCTCTGGTCTAATTTTGTTGTTACGAAGAACGTTCCTAAGCATAGTTGACCAAGGTTGACCCTAGCTGACAAAGTTGACCGTAAGTTGACTTTTATGATAGCCATTGGGGAGAAAGTAATCATTTACGTACTATTCGCTATTATAAATTGTAGGTTACCAGTCAGCGCCGTTAGTTAAGCAATCTACGTTATCAGGTGAGTCTTCATGAGACTTACAATGGGATGCATACCTATGTATAAATTTATTTTCAAGCATTATACGATTTATATGATGATGGTACAAATGCATGATGTTTCAGTTTACATACATGATATGTTTTASATGTATGACGTTTTATGATCAGTTGCATGCTATGTGTTTAATCACGATTTGAATAACTCTAGCATGCTTTTCCATACTAAAGTTTGATGATTTAAGGGTGGGCATTTGACCAGTAAGTCATGACCAGTATAAAACACTACCCGGACAAGTGGGTGATAAGTTAAGATTGTGACACCCAGGGCGTGTTGGTGACTAATAAGTCACGACCAATATAAAACCCTACCCAGACAAGTGGGTGATCAATCGAGAATAAAGTATCAACCCAGGGTGTGTTTGTGACTAAATGACCCATTCCAGACAGATAATTTATAACATCTCATTTCTTTCAGTGTTGCATGTTTTCAGAAATTGCATGCTACTTGGTACAAGGTTTACAAGTTGAAATGCATGACGTACAATGTTTTTATACACGAAAACCATGAACTCACTGAGCTTTATAAGCTGACTATAGTATGCATCTCAGGCCCAGGTAGTTCGAGGACGGATAAAGGCAAAGGACATGCTTAGAGTGTTGCTTATTATCATCTCATTTTAGTCTTTTTTCTAAGATGCGCTGTAATGATCTTTTGTAACTTAACCCCAAGAGAAGGTGGGTTAGAACTTAAGTTAGATTTTGACGATCCAAAGACTTCCGCTGTAATAGTTTAAATGATTTTAAATTAGCTATTACTTTGGTGTATTTATTAAGGAAATGTTTCAGATTACGTGACATCTCTCTTGATGAAAATGAGGGTGTTACAAGTTGGTATCAAAGCTTTAGTTTAAGGTAATTAGGCTAAAACTTGCTCAGCTTAAGCTTAAACTGAAAAGATTGTTAGAACTTTAGTTTAAGGTAAATAGGTTAAGATTTACTTAGCCTAAGCTTAAACTGAAAGGATTATTAGAAGCACATGTTTACTGTGTATTGGTGTCGCTTAGCATGCGATTAAGTTTGATCATACGTCACTACTCGACTTAGCGTTCCTTTTACGATTTGTAGGAGACATGGTTCACACCATTCACACCAGGGCCACAAAACGCGGACGCGGATACGGAACCCGTAGGACGCCTTACGGGCTAGGACCGAATGGAGGGTCGATTGACAGTCACCGCCCCAGCACCGGACGGGTTCCCAGTACCCAGTCCGGAGGCGATAGTCCGGCCCACACTGGTGAAGCGTCATCATGCGAGCCCATCAAGCAAGGGACCACGCCCGAACCTTCGGAAGACTACACGCCCCGCACCCCTACACGTGAGGACATGATGGAGACTATAGAGACCCTGGGGGGCGAGAACACAAGG